CTCAAATAATCACACTCTCTCCACCATGCTTAATGGTGGGAACTAAATTTTTATTTTCATAGCGAGCACCATTATTTCGCCATATATTGGCCATTCTGCCAAACTGGAAAATGTTACATTTACATTCGTCAGAAAAATAACGAAGCTCTTGTTTTCCTGCGACCAATATATCCATTTCTTCACAGTCTCATATCAACTACTAAATCTTTCTGCATGCAGATCTGCAATAATATCCACCACAATTAAGATACCGCTTTATCGTTGTGGAGAAACATCTATGATCTGCTTTCTTACTTCATTTGCTAGCCTTTTTTTGTATATTAGGATTATGCTCTAGAAAGAACTATTACTTTTCTCGCCAAAAATAGTGAAGAGATTGTTCATGATCTGTCTGTAGCTCATATCGGTTTTTGGAGAATGGGAGTTTTTGATAAAATATTTTATTTAATAGGAGAACTAAACAGAAGACGCGCGAATCCCTAACAAAAAACACCAGTCTCATATACAAAATAAAACCTTTTCGTTTAATATCCTCAATCCAAAATCCCACCATTCACCATCAGTCAGCCAAAAATCTTTGCAACCATCTAGCATTGATAGCAGACTTATACCCCTCAGTGCCTTTTTTATCACATTCTTCTAGCTCCTCCAGCTCCTCCAGCTTACAAACCCTGCAGTCAAAATTTGATTCTTTGTTGTCACTCGGCTTTTTAGAAAATTCTTCGACGAAGTCCTCCTCATCCGTAGTCTGGAAATCATGACCCTCCACACAAAATCTTCTTTTATTAAGCAAACAATTCTCATGTACATGGGCTGTAGAGTAAAATGAGTCGTAAACCTGGATGACTATAGTTGAATTTATTCCCCTTGATACAGCTATAGCTAAGCTATAAGGCAGCAAGAATATTCCTTTAAGCTGTAAGTTGTTAAGAAATAGATTTATTAGCGCTATAATCTCGGTTCTGCTTAGCCAGTCAACAAATGTTATTCCAATGAACGTTTCTTTTTTATTTTAAATTAAATTGTGAAATAGTCTCCCAGTACATCCATTGCCTTAGTACCACTGTCGAACTTCTTTTTATTTATATGAAGATTTTCAAAGTAGTCATCCAAGGGAACTGGATCACACTCTTCTAAAAGTATTTTATCGTGTGACACGCAACTATAAATGATTCTATCGTTTTCTTTGCAATAACTTTTCATCTTGTACTGTTCGCATGTGTAATATGAGGCTTCTGTCTTAAAAAAACAGCTCTGAACGTATTTGCTGGGTGGAACTATTTGATTAAGTGGAGATATTGTTATTGGTTTTAGATTATTCGGCAGTTTCAAAGGGGTTGTCTCTACTTTGTAGTGATATTCATTGTGCCTTTGGTAGTGTATGTTGTTTGGGTTTAACCAAGAAAAAGTGATCAGCCAACCTAGCCTCATAGTCTTACAAAGATATTTTTCAATGTACAGATGCGAAGTACTATTGGTGTCTTTTTAATCAAATAAAGTGGTCGTCCATTCCTGCAAAAAACTTGAAAAATCATGAGAGAGTCTTTTCTGTGAAATCTCCGCGATTACGATAATTTCCTTGAATACATACCTGTGTCGTAAAAGAGCCAGTTGCTATTGCAGCATACTGTTTTAATTGCCTAGAGTCATATCTCTTTCTATTTCCAAACAAGCCATATGTCCTAAACATGCAATCAAAAATTCTCCTTTTTAAGCTATAAAAAGAGTGCCAAAACTTCTACCACATAAGAAAATTATACGAGAGACAGCTGAAATAAGGTTGCGGCAAAAGATGCCTTGCAGTGTTCTGTTGCATTTGCACGGATGAAAAATGCATAGGAGGTTTGGCACACATACTCTCTGAATATGGCGATGTATTTATGTGCATAAATATCAGTAAAACCATAAAGAACGACTGCATTTCACGTGAGTACATAGACAAGGGCTGCATAATGCTCAATTTCTATTTCTACATAACAAGTTTCATGGAGGAGCGCGAGTGCTACAACAAATCGCTGATCAGGCTCCAAGACAAGGACGACAAATGCGAGGCCTTTCGTTTTACAGCTGACAGCAAGGAAAATATCCATCCTTCCGTACCAGATTCCAACGAGTTAAATGCATTTAACCTGGCAGATACATGCTCCTCTATGACCAAGGACCTGGAAAATCATATTTACTGTAAATTGCTTTGTCTTTACTTTCTATTTCTTTGTAGAGGATATTCACGAAGCGAATTCATTTTCATGCCTCCAAAATCCTATGTTAACGTATTATGAGGAAGGTTGAGAATTTATTATTATGGTAACAGCATAAATAGATTTGCATTTAAAATAAACACGATTGTATTTTAGATAACAGCATAGTGGAGTGACGGATTTTGTTGATGTTATATTGTAACTTAGACTGAAACTACAACATGCGCATCCGATACAGATCACAAATTCGGTCCTTTATAAAGGCTACTGAGTGTTTTATAAAGAAAAGTTCTTTCCAATCCATAAATATCTATAAGAAACATCAGAGAAGCCCTATTGTCACTCGTTTTCCCACCAAGCATCAACAAATTTTCCAAGTATAACTGGAATACTAGTTTAAAATCTCTTTTAAATCATATGGAGCTGATATGATTACCTGTCTAAGAAATCGAATTGGGGATGGAGCTATTTTGGTAGCCATAGGCTGAATATTATTTATGGAGGATCTTAGCTTTGTTCTTTATAAATTTTGTAGCGGAAAAAAAATTATAGTGGTTGCGTGTTTTGTGATTTTGGCTGCTATAACTAAAAGGGCACCTGACTTCCTGCTGCTATGGCGGCTCCAACTCCTCTATCAGCTTTGATTCATTCATCAACACCTGTAACTGCTGGAGTTTATTTGCTTATTCGTTTTTACCCACTTATTTCTTCTGTTGGGGCAATAAAATTCCTTTTTTTCTTCAGGGCACTTACCATGATGATATCTAAAATCGGAGCTCTTTACGAAATGGATCTTTAAAAAGTCATTGCTTTGTCGACTTTGAGCCAATTAGGGTTAATAATGCTGTCACTAGCGGCTGGGTTTTGTGTCTTGGCTTTTTTTCATTTATTAACTCATACACTATTTAGGGCTTGTCTATTTCTTTGTGCTGGAAGAATTAAAGAAAGCAGGAATTACTGCTCTGTTATTCTTACAATAATGTACAGTGTACGTTTAATTAAATATATTTTTAGAGGGGGGTATCTTATGGTAATATGAAAAATAAGAGACAATGCTTCTATAATATTAGTATATCCAATCAGAGTTTTATCCATGGGGGCAATTTTTGGTGGAAGAATACTTAGGTGATTGCTTTTAGATTTGTCTTATACTAATTCATATTTTTTTAAGTTAAAGTTGGTCTTCTATTATCGTTCATTTTAGAGTTGTTAATGGGAAGAACAGTTATATTTTCTTCTTCGGGTTTAATAAGATTTTACTCTAGAATAAAATGATTTTTGGTCGTTATGTCCAATAAATTTCCTTTGTTGGTGGGACTTAGCGTTAGTGGACAAGTTTGAAAGTAATGTGATTTAGGGTGGAGAGAGAAATTAGACCCTAAAGGATTAAGAGGGGAAATTTTTGCAGTAGCTGGGGCAAGAGATTCTAGATTTCATTGATCTTATAAATATTATTTGTTTACGGTACCTTTTATTTCTTTTATTGGAGTTCTTTATGTTTTTTGTTTCTATAGCTTATGTAAAGCAAAGCATTAAAGCTGCTTAGAAAACTTTTGCTTGGAGACATTCCAAGAATATATCTTTTCATTACAGTGAAATTGTAAGGTGTTAAAACCACACCACAAGGAAAAAGGCGACAACGATATGCGCTGGAGCGCAAGCTGGGAGCTTGCTATTTCACCTCAAATAGAAATTGTTCATTGAAGCCTTTAACAGAGGCTCTCCTTTTTTGGATTTAGTCAATCTATGGCGATGTTCGACTTCTTCTAGGTCGAAACGAGATGCAAAATCCTTGACGAAGGCGGCTAGTTTTAGGAGGATCAATCTAAAGCCCCATTGTTCCATTCTGGAAAAAAGCCTATGATCAAGTTAAAAATGAATAAAAATGATATAGTAAATCAGGTATGAGAGGAGATGTGAAGGGGGGCCATTGGAATGGGCAAGAGGATTGCGATTTTTACGTCAACAAATAGGAAAATGATGGCAATAAAAAAAACCGAAAAGAGAATGAAATTCGAGATTTGAAAAAGGGGATAAAGCCACACACAAATGGTGAGGGTTTTTCATGGTCCAATAAGGTTTCTTTTCCTATTAGTGTGGCTGCTATAATAATGATTATTGCTGTTGTGCAATCTCGGGTACGACACCCGGGTGTGTGCAAATAGTTGGTGTAACAGGGATTTATTTGATAGACTTGTCGTTCTAGCTTCCATCGGTTTCTTATTCGAGTAAACCGTCTTCTTAACTCTTATATCATCGCAGAGTTTGTTGTTCATTGGTATGCCCATCTTATGGGTTTTGATCCGCTAGCTATTTAAGCAATTTTTTGGCGGGTAACATTTTTATTCTTGAACGACCTTCTTCTTCAATTTTGAACTCCTATTTCGACTGTCGCTGTCACGACGCTAGGTGGGGTGCACGACAATTGCTAAAAGGAGAATGGCGATCAATAAGCTAGAAATTAGTAATATTGTTTGTCCGGATTTTCAGATTTTTTCATTGGAAGCGAAATATAATTTTTACATTATTTGTTTTGTCTGATCGATTTTAAACCGGAAAACCTTGTGCTTCTGAAATTTCCAGGCAAATCCCAGACCCAGTCAGTGTCCACAGTTCCACAGATCCCTGAACAAAAATACCAAATAAAGGCGACCCTTCTAGTCAAAAATTTTCTTCGGTGTTAAGTCACAAGGAAAAAAATGCTATGTCACACACTGTCGTCTTTAATTTGTTAAAAATGTTAAACATGCCAAATTTATTGGGATGGTCTCACAAGTAACACATCACTTGGGTTTCAAAACGTCAGCCCGTGACGTGAAAGAAAACCACGTAGTGTTTCCCATGCCTGGCAGTCCCAAACCTTTCGTTCCCATCAAAAAACAAATGACGGAAGTCTGTGAAGGTCACTGCAGACTTTTCATCATCGCCTTCTTCTCGACCGAAAATCTTCACAGATTGTTTATAAAATAGTTCGTCTTCCAACTGCTTCAACAAATCCTTATCGTCCAAATCCAGATTAGGCAACTTGCGACCTAAATCCTTTTCCATCTCGTCCCGATTGGCCAAAAGATAATCCATGTCGCACCAAATGTCGACGGTCATTAGTTTCAGTGCTTCCCGAAACGAAACTTGCTCGACGGTTGTAACTGTGGCGTCTGGATAGCACGGCTCAGCGTCCTGCCAGTCCTTGGAATACAGAGAATCTAGTTGTTCCCTGGACTCGAAATACTTAGTGTCGATCAGTCCAACGTGGAGTACGTAATCACCGTAACTAGATGTTTTCAGAGTCGGCATCAGAACTCTGTCCCTTCCCCAGTCCATGTCCTCAAACCATTTGATTTCATCTAGATGCAGTCCATCCTTGTGCACATAGACACCAGAGCGCTGTGCGCCCTCTGCTGTGAGAACACGCGGCACTAGCAGCACTGAGTAGGTGCCCTGTTCAAAACCGGTCTTAATGATGTTCTGGGTTGCCATCCCTCGCAGGTGATTCCTGTAAACAAAGTTGCAGACACACATAGAAGGATGGGATAACATGGCGGTGATTTGTTGGCAAATCATATGGAGGCAATGAAATTTCATGGTTGCCAACTGAGACCGCATGCGGTTTTCGTTGCGTGTCATGAACCTGAAGTGGCCGTGAAAAGACCAGTGAAAAAATTAGACCTGCATGGGCTTAAATTTGACCGAATCGTGACAGTAAGCCCTCAAATAGCAAAAAACACCGAAAATTCCTGAGTTTGTAGCAAGAAAATTTAAATTTTTTTTGGCAGCTCATTTACATTTCAATAGGTGACCAGTTTCTTTACAATTTTCCATTAATTACAACTTTTCTAAATAGTTTCTTCAGCAATCTCACTTCAAAATTTCATATTCCACTATCGGTGTTAATTGAATTCATCTACAAAAAATACAACTGACCAGCAATGACCGCCACTGAGGATCTGCGTGACCGAATGAGCAATTTTTGGTTGGCAGGCCTGGAATGAATTAGTGAATCGCAGTGTAGAGTGAGGGTAAGAATTCACAATACTGAACGGCACTAGTAGGGAAACCAGTTGACTCCCCAGTTGGATTCGTTTTCATGTTAGAGATCAAGAGTCAACCGGTTTCACTACTGGTACACTAACTCAATACCTCCATATTATTTATCAACAAATCCCGTTCATTCGAACCTTCTGAGACCGTTTACGTCCAAAATCAGGTGAAGCAACTAAAATTACCTCACCGGAGGACTCGAAGCAAGGTTGCCAGGCTGCCAAATTGCAGTTTCACAGTAAAATGCCGAATCAAATAAATCAATTGATTAATTAATAGTTAATCAAAAGTCTACAAACAGATTAGATCACTTCTTTTCGTTGAAATTATAAAAAACCTGGGAAGAAAAAAAAAAACGAAGTTTACTGTTAACATCAGTAGGAGGCAGCCATCTGCTGTTCGTTTTATAATAGATCGATCAAGAGGCGTGCCCCATAAAAAACATATTATGGATAGGCTTTTAGTGGAGGTATGAACAGGAACTCTGCGTCAGCCGATCTGGCCAGAGCGGTTCTGGCCCACTCGGGGCGGTTCTGGCCCGCTGCTTCCGAGTGCGACGAAAAACTGCAGGCGTTGAAGGTTGCCAACTGCTTCTAAAGTCCCAGTTTGTCACTCCTAACGTAATCATCACTTCAGCAATCGCTGTTGTTCTGTATTCGCCGGGGGACATCCCCGCGACCCCCCACTCCTAAAAAAGGATTCGGGGTTGTACTGCAGGGGGTTCACATAACCACGATGAAATTGGTTGCAAGTTGGCAAAGCTAAAGTTGGTGTCGTGCGCTCGTGGGTACGACACTCGTGTGTGGGCGAATAGTTGGTGTAACAGGGATTTATTTGATAGACTTGTCGTTCTAGCCTCCATCGGTTTCTTATTCGAGTAAACCTTATTCTTAACTCTTATATCATCGCAGAGTTTGTTGTTCATTGGTATGCCCATCTTATGGGTTTGGATCTGCTAGCTATTTAAGCAGTTTTTTGGCGGGTAACATTTTTATCCTTGAACAACCTTCTTGAATTTTGAACTCCTATTTCGACTGTCGCTGTCACGACGCTAGGTGGGTGCACGACAATTGCTAAAAGGAGAATGGTGATCGATAAGCTAGAAATTAGTAATTTTTATTTTCTTCATGATTTTCAGATTTATTTCATTGGAAGTGAAATATAATTTTTACATTATTTGTATTGTCTGATCGATTTTTAATCCGGAAAACCTTGTGCTTCTGAAATTTCCAGGCAAATCCCAGACCCAGTCAGTGTTCACAGTTCCACAGATCCCTGAACAAAAATACCTAATAAAGGCGACCCTTCTAGTCAAAAATTTTCTTCGGTGCTAAGTCACAAGGAAAAAAATGCTGTCAAGCACTGTCTTCTTTGATTTGTTAAAAATGTTAAACATGCCAAATTTATTGGGATAGTCTCACATGTAACACATCACTTGGGTTTCAAAACGTCAGCCCGTGACGTGAAAGAAAACCACGTAGTGTTTCCCATGCCTGGCAGTCCCAAACCTTTCGTTCCCATCAAAAAACAAATGACGGAAGTCTGTAAAGGTCACTGCAGACTTTTCATCATCGCCTTCTTCTCGACCGAAAATCTTCACAGATTGTTTATAAAATAGTTCGTCTTCCAACTGCTTCAACAAATCCTTATCGTCCAAATCCAGATTATTCAACTTGCGACCTAAATCCTTTTCCATCTCGTCCCGATTGGCCAAAAGATAATCCATGTCGCACCAAATGTCGATGGTCATTAGTTTCAGTGCTTCCCGAAACGAAACTTGCTCGACGGTTGTAACTGTGGCGTCTGGATAGCACGGCTCAGCGTCCTGCCAGTCCTTGGAATACAGAGAATCTAGTTGTTCCCTGGACTCGAAATACTTAGTGTCGATCAGTCCAACGTGGAGTACGTAATCACCGTAACTAGATGTTTTCAGAGTCGGCATCAGAACTCTGTCCCTTCCCCAGTCCATGTCCTCAAACCATTTGATTTCATCTAGATGCAGTCCATCCTTGTGCACATAGACACCAGAGCGCTGTGCGCCCTCTGCTGTGAGAACACGCGGCACTAGCAGCACTGAGTAGGTGCCCTGTTCAAAACCGGTCTTAATGAAGTTCTGGGTTGCCATCCCTCGCAGGTGGTGCCTGTAAACAAAGTTGCAGGCACACATAGAAGGATGGGATAACATGGCGGTTATTTGTTGACAAATCATATGGAGGCAATGAAATTTCATGGTTGCCAACTGAGACCGCATGCGGTCTTCGTTGCGTGTCAGGAACCTGAAATGGCCGTGACAAGACTAGTAAAAAAATTAGACCTGCATGGGCTTAAATTTGACCGAATCGTGACCGTAAGCCCTCAAATAGCAAAAAACACCGAAAATTCCTGAGTTTGTAGCAAGAAAATTTAAGATTTTTCTGGCAGCTCATTTACATTTCAATAGGTGACCAGTTTCTTTACGATTTTCCATTAATTACAAATTTTCTAAATAATTTCTTCAACAATCTCACTTCAAAATTTCATATTCCACTAGCAGTGTTATTTGATTTCATCTACAAAAAATACAAATGACCTGCAATGACCGCCACTGAGGATCTGCGTGACCGAATGAAAAACTTTTGGCTGGCAAGCCTGGAATGAATTAGTGAATCGCAGTGTAGAGTGAGGGTAAGAATTCACAATACTGAACGGCACTAGTAGGGAAACCAGTTGACTCCCCAGTTGGATTCGTTTTCATGTTAGAGATTAAGAGTCAACCGGTTTCACTACTGGTACACTAACTCAATACCTCCATATTATTTATCAACAAATCCCGTTCATTCGAACCTTCTGAGACTGTAAGTCCAAAATCAGGTGAAACAACTAAAATTACCTCACCGGAGGACTCGAAGCAAGGTTGCCAGGCTGCCAAATTGCAGTTTCACAGTAAAATGCCGAACCAAATAAATCAATTGATTAATAGTTAATCAAAAGTCTACAAACAGATTAGATCACTTCTTTTCGTTGAAATTATAAAAAACCTGGGAAGAAAAAAAAAACGAAGTTTACTGTTGATATCAGTAGGAGGCAGCCATCTGTTGTTTGTTTTATAATAGATAGATCAAGAGGCGTGCCCCACAGAAAACATATTATGGATAGGCTTTTTGTGGAGGTAGGAACAGGAACTCTGCAGGAGCCGATCTGGCCAGAGCGGTTCTGGCCCACTCGGGGCGGTTTTGGCCCGCTGCTTCCGAGTGCGACGAAAAACTGCAGGCGTTGAAGGTTGCCAACTGCTTCTATAGTCCCAGTTTGTCTCTCATAACGTAATCATCACTTCAGCAATCGCTGTAGTTCTGTATTCGCCGGGGGACATCCCCGCGACCCCCCGCTCCTAAAAAAGGATTCGGGGTTGTACTGCAGGGGGTTCACATAACCACAATGAAACTGGTTACAAGTTGGCAAAGCTAAAGTTGGTGTCGTGCCCTCGCGGGTACGACACTCGGGTGTGTGCAAATAGTTGGTGTAACAGGGATTTATTTGATAGACTTGTCGTTCTCGCTTCCATCGGTTTTTTATTCGAGTAAACCTTATTCTTAACTCTTATATCATCGCAGAGTTTGTTGTTCATTGGTATGCCCATCTTATGGGTTTGGATCTGCTAGCTATTTAGGCAATTTGTTGGCGGGTAAAATTTTCATCCTTGAACGACCTTCTTCTTGAATTTTGAACTCCTATTTCGACTGTCGCTGTAACGACGCTAGGTGGGGTGCACGACAATTGCTAAAAGGAGAATGGTGATCAATAAGCTAGAAATTAGTAATATTTTTTTTTCTCCTGATTTTCAGATTGATTTCATTGGAAGTGAAATATAATTGTTACATTATTTGTTTTGTCTGATCGATTTTTAAACCGGAAAACCTTGTGCTTCTGAAATTTCCAGGCAAATCCCAGACCCAGTCAGTGTTCACAGTTCCACAGATCCCGGAACAAAAATACCAAATAAAGGCGACACTTCTCGTCAAAAATTTTCTTCGGTGCTATGTCACAAGGAAAAAAATGCTGTCACACACTGTCGTCTTTGATTTGTTAAAAATGTTAAATATGCCAAATTTAGTGGGATGGTCTCACAAGTAACACATCACTCGGGTTTCAAAACGTCAGCCAGTGACGTGAAAGAAAACCACGTAGTGTTTCCCATGCCTGGCAGTCCCAAACCTTTCCTTCCCATCAAAAAACAAATGACGGAAGTCTGTGAAGGTCACTGCAGACTTTTCATCATCGCCTTCTTCTCGACCGAAAATCTTCACAGATTGTTTATGAAATAGTTCGTCTTCCAACTGCTTCAACAAATCCTTATCGTCCAAATCCAGATTAGGCAACTTGCGACCTAAATCCTTTTCCATCTCGTCCCGATTGGCCAAAAAATATTCCATGTTGCACCAAATGTCGACGGTCATTAGTTTCAGTGCTTCCCGAAACGAAACTTGCTCGACGGTTGTAACTGTGGCGTCTGGATAGCACGGCTCAGCGTCCTGCCAGTCCTTGGAATACAGAGAATCTAGTTGTTCCCTGGACTCGAAATACTTAGTGTCGATCAGTCCAACGTGGAGTACGTAATCACCGTAACTAGATGTTTTCAGAGTCGGGATCAGAACTCTGTCTCTTCCCAAGTCCATGTCCTCAAACCATTTGATTTCATCTAGATGCAGTTCATCCTTGTGCATATAGACACCAGAGCGCTGTGCGCCCTCTGCTGTGAGAACACGCGGCACTAGCAGCACTGAGTAGGTGCCCTGTTCAAAACCGGTCTTAATGAAGTTCTGGGTTGTCATCCCTCGCAGGTGGTGCCTGTAAACAAAGTTGCAGACACAGAAAGAAGGATGGGGTAACATGGCGGTGATTTGTTGACAAATTATATGGAGGCAATGAAATTTCATGGTTGCCAACTGAGACCGAATGCGGTCTTCGTTGCCTGTCATGAACCTGCAGTGGCCGTGAAAAGACCATTGAAATAATTGACCTGCAAGGGCTTAAATTTGACCGAATCGTGACCGTAAGCCCTCAAATAGCAAAATACACCGAAAATTCCTGAGTTTGTAGCAAGAAAATTTAACATTTTTCTGGCAGCTCATTTACATTTCAATAGGTGACCAGTTTCTTTGCGATGATCTCGCTTCCATTGGTTTTCTTTGCCATTATCTCGCTTCCATTGGTTTCATATTTGAGTAAACCGTCTTCTTAACTCTTATTTCATTGCAGAGTTTATTTTTCATTGCTAAAATTTTTTGAAAAAAAAATCAAAAGCCAGAAGCCCCTTTTTTCCGATGCCCGTAAGTCATTCAACATAAAATGGAAAACATATCCTGCAACTGGCAGTTTCAAAATTCAAAGGCACCTCTTTCCATCATAACACAAACAATCCCTTCATCGTCATCTTCCCCAAAACTCTTAATTGCTCTGTTACAAAATCACCCCCCCCCTTTCAACTGTTTCATCATTTTCATTTGATAGAAAATCACGTTTCCCAACTTGCGATTGAAATCCTTTATCATTCCATGTTGATTGTCCAGTAAGCCCTGCACTGAAAGTTAAATTCTTCTGCGGATGATTCGAAATTGCCTGACAGGATGTAAACAAAACAAGAAATTAATCAAATAATACGTTAAAGCCTTTCTAAGGCTGCAACTGCAAGGTCAGTTCCATGCTTCTTGACTGACGAGTTAATTAATAGAATACGTTCCCACGTTACCTTTCTAGCAACGTATTCCTGCTCTCCAGAGCGTTTGTACCAGTCGACAGGTCGAGTAGCTGGAAGTTTTCCGAACCTGTCGAGCCGCTCGGTTGATGGCGTTGCGTAATACTGATTGACAGCTGCCTGATGCTCATGTGTCTGCAGGTCCCCTATTTCCTGATCGTGACCAGGCCTTTCATTACTGGGCAGTTGGGGAAGTTTCGTAGGATCCTTGACTCGCGAGTTAGCATCAGGACCGCTGACTAAATTATTGGGATTCCACGAAATTGCAGCGTTCAGAAAAGTACCGACGAGCTTTTGTTGCTTCAGTTGACCTTGGTCATCAAGTTGACCCTCGATGATGGTTCTCATGCATTCCTGGTTTACGAAATTTTCCAAATGTGCTTGAAGTGGTTCTAACCTCCTTTCTGCTACGGCGTCAGTGTCACCAGCCTGTCTTGTGTCGTGAACCAGAACAGCGGCTTCAAGTTCGTTATTTGGAATTATATGATATAGAGTTTTCTCTGTTGGTGAGTTGGGGTCATTAGGAGGAATCGCATTCTGAAAAAGTAAAGAGTAATTAAGATTCAACTCAGACATTTGAAAATCGAAATTTGAGAAATGTTTACCTTAAATATTTTGGCAAACTTTCCACCACGAGGATGCTCATTTTTTTTACTTATTGCATCGGCAAGGGCAACAGCATCACCAGGTTCTACTCTTAATACCCCAGCATCATCTCTGTACAATCCGGCAGTGAATAATATTTTGTTGGCCGAATCAGGATTCGTCTTCCTAATCCAATTTTTAGCAGGAAGCACTTTCAAATATCTTGCGGAATTCGATTCTATATGGTCAGCTGCTTGAACTCGGAGATCACTGACAGATTTGCTGATCCCGTTACTTTCTAGAATTTTACTGAAGGCAGCAAACGCGGAGTCGTAGCCTGCTGACGGTGCTGCACTGAACTGACCGTTGCTGTTCATGTAATAATCGTGACCAACCTCGTCATTCGGACCATGTTTCACGTACATCACTTGAACCCCGTTGTCAATGTCTTCCTGCGTCCTGACGTAACGTTCATCGTCCACCACTTTCAAGTTGACTCCGTTTCCTTCAGCCATTGCTATCATTGTGGCAAGATTGGCCGGTCCGCCGGCCCGAACACCATCCGCGATTTGTTTAACATTCGCGTCCGGCGTGCCCTGGCCATGGTGGCCACCATCTTGGTCTGCATGGTAGGCCATTTCACACTGACTGTACGCCTCGCAATAATCAATGCCGTTGTATTTGATCTGCTCTTTAAACGTTCTAAATCTGCCGTAGTTAGCCATAAACGACCTCTCGGCCGGTGTCAAATCCTTTTTTTCCTTAAGTTCTTCGTACTTCTTCTGATCTGCCTTGTGACTGTCTGAATTTTGCTCTTCATCCACGAAGCAGTAGGGCGGCAGTCGCTTGGAACCCGCGGCAGTGAGGTTACTCACAGCCATTGTTGACCACGGCTGCAACAGTTGCGAGTCCATCACCCGTATCAACTGTTCGGCTATTTGGTCCGACACAGACTTCATCATCGTGCTGAACGACTCTAAATCAATTTCGACAAATTTCGCATAGAAACTCTCTATGAAAGCAATGCTTTTCCCAACGTCAGCCGTCATCGAGTCGCTGTCATATTTTCCAAATTCTTCTAAAATCTCATCAGGATTTGTCTCCCAGTCTTCCGAGAACTCGTCTATCTTTCTCTTGAGCTCTTTGGACTCATTGACCAAGTCACTCTGGGACACGTTGAAATTGTCGACATCGTCGAAGATGTCGAGTTGCTTGAGCTTACCGGCAATTAATGCCGCATTGTCCTTTTTAATCTTGAGATATCTGTGGAATACTAGACTAATCGTCATAGAATTGCTATCCATACGCCTGAGCTTTGTCACTAATGCTTTGACAACGTTGTCAGTCAGTGTTTGCACCTGATGGAGGCCGTTGAGAGTGCCGATAACTCTGATAGCCATACTCGCGTTGCTTCCACACCTGCTCGGGTCAGACAGAACACCTTTCAGTAACAGTAAACCGATCGAGTCCCACTGCTTCTGCATAAAGTCGTGCCGAGGACTGACAGTTTCCGAAACAATTTGATCAACTTTGGACTGAAGTTGACGAGAGTTTGTGGCCAGGTCGATTGCGTACATTTT